CTCTGTGGTAAGGGGGCTGCCACTGGGTTTTTGATGATCCTAAAGTGAGGTAAGTTCCAGGGATCTTCTTCTTGCCATTAGCATATTCATGTCCCTGGCAGGTGGTGGGCTGGCTGAGTCATTCCAAGAGAGGCCCCCCAACCGGAATTCCCAATGTGAATCTACTAAGTCTGGGACCCTCACTGTGCTCCCCAGATCTGTTTCCTAAACCCCAGCTCAATTAACCGATCAGCTAATTATTCATCCACAAACAGTAATTGGTTTTTGTTGGCCACTAAGAACCCTGGATTTGCTCACTCTGGACACCCCATAGCCTGATACCACCTTGTGCTACTCACGGTAGGAACTGCATTGGGTAGCAGTTTGCCATGAATGAGATGAAGGTGGTCACGGCCCTCTGCTTGCTCCGCTTTGAGTTCGCCCTGGACCCCTTGCGGCCCCCCATCAAGATGCCCCAGCTGATCCTGCGCTCCAAGAATGGCATCCACCTCCGCCTGAAATCGCTGCGCCCAGGCTCTGGGAAGTAGCTCTGCAGAGAATAGGGTCCCAGACACCCAGACACTGCCCTCCCAAGGCTGGATTATAGAATAGCTGTGGCTCCCTGTCTTTGGGAGGCTTGTAGTTCAGATGGGGAGCAGGCACCCACATAAACAATCACCTGGAGGGCAGTGCCATGCAAGCATGTGTGTCTGGAAATGCTTCGTATACATGTATTCTAGAGCTCATCCATTCATTCCACAAACACGCGGTGAGCACCTACTTGCTTCTAGAATCTTCCTTTCTCTCCCAAAATTGGCAGTCTTTCTAGAAGGTAGCAGAAACTTACATGCCAGCTGTGGTGACACAATGAACACAATGGGAGTTGTGTCTTGGGCTCCATGGTTATGATCAGGCACTCATCCACTCCACATGAAAGAAAGATGGCTTTGGGGGTTTGCCCCTTCACTGAGATGTATTTCTCTGCTTAACTGTGTGTGCATGTGTAATATAATAGACATAAGGTAAAATTGCATAAATAAAAAATGCACAGGACAATTAATTTCTAAAGCAAATTCCCAGGTAACCACCACTGAAATCAAGGAATATGGAGTATGGTTTCCCCAGGCGTATCTTCTGCCCCTCCTGAGACAGGTCTCTGTAGCATTCCTACCATTGTCAGCATCTATGCCACAGTCTCCCAGTGCTCTGGGTGTCAGGCTTTTGCTGAGGAAGGTGGCCGAGTGGCATTAAAGGGGGGCTTCCTGGAAGACACGGTGCTTGAATCAAGCTTGAGGCAGGTGAGGTACAAAGGTGCAAAGAATGACATTGGGGGAGGGCCTCAGGCTGGGGCCAAGTGATGCATTAGAGATTCGTCTTCAGTAGTTCCTGCAGCAGCTGCCTGGTGGCTGGGGTCCTGTGTACCTCTAGGGTTCAAGGTGTAAGGCCACTAGTGGGTTCTAAACCAGGAATTAGACAATATTGGAAGAGAGGACACTGAAGACTAAGGGGCAGGATAAGAGAGGGGAATTCTAGCCCTGGGACTTGGGGATGTCTTTATGTTGCCCTGGGGATGTACCATCTGGAGATACATCCTTCCTGCCATTGACACTTCCCTCTTAGAAGAAGGCCACAGCCTTGGAGGTTTGGCTATGGGCCACCTGCTCACTCCTGCGAAGCCCCGTCAACACCGAGACCTCCTTGCCCACCTGAGACTGGGATGCAGAGGCCTCAGCCGCAGTGTCACCCATGCCACCAACTTCCCTCTCTGTCCTGACCCTGGATAGATCTTTCTCCATACAAGCAGAGGTATGTATCCATAGTGATCACCTGAGAGCAGAACCCAGAGGTCGTAACCATTTGTAACCCATGGATGGCACCCAAGTCGAAGACTTGTCTACTTCCCTTATCTCTGGATTGTCAGGAAGCCTATGAGGCAGGACTTAGCCTACTTCAATGTCAGAGGAAGGAAACTGCCAAGATGCTTATCAGAAAACAGCTTGCACTGCGGCCTTCTGACTTTGGCCTCTTTTGACCAAGACTCCATAGGTGTGTTGACTGTCTCTCTGAGAGCTTATGTCAGTGGGAAATGGAGCTGAGAACTCTATAGAGCCTGAAAGAAGGGAGAGGCTCCACATGGGAGGGGAGGGCCGAGGCTGCAGACTAGTAGGCACCAAAGATGAACTTTGCTTAATCCTTCCAGCCCTCCAAACATACCCTGTTGCCTCCTATGACCCCAGGCATTTGTTGTGCACGTGTGTGGTAGAGTGTAGAGTGTGTGAGTAGTGCACACAGGTGTGGTTACACATGTATGTGTCACAGAGGTTGTGCATATGAGTGTGAACTCACCCTAGGTTTTTTTCCTTTGCCTAGACCCAGCAGGGTCACTTCTTGGTCACATTCTTTACCCTCAACGTAATCCTATGGTTAGGGCATGTGTCCATCCATGGCTGGCCACTCAGAATTCCAAGTTCCCATTGTCTTGAACTCTTTGGCCTCGCTAGCGCTTACCTTTCAACACCACCGGATGCCAGAGAATCTGCCAACCTTCTTGTCTAGCACTTTCCCAGCTTACTTTCCTGCCCCTATCCCTGGTCAAACACGAAGCCTCTACCCTGTCCCTTCTCAAAGCATGGCTGAACTAGCCAAGTGAGCTAGGAAGCCAGGGGACTGAAAGGGAGGTCCTGGGCGCAAGCACCAGCTGGGGAAGAAACCCGTTCAGGGAGGCAGAATGAATGTGGCATTACACCATAGGCAGAGGGCTCAGGGAAGTCTGTCTGTGACATCCAGGGTCTGGGCTAAGAATAGCAGGGGGTAGGACAGGAGGAAGATCTGTGTTTAGAACCAACAAAAGAATAGTGCTGGGTTGAGAGAGGCTGGTGGAGGAGGGCAAAGAGGGCCTGGGAACAGGGACCAGGGTCAGGAGGACCAGTACCCAAGCAGTCACATAATGGGGCAGGGTTGGCCGACCAGAGATGCACGGGATTGCCAAGGGGCTGTCCTGTGGGGGAGGTGCCACCAGTAGTTTGCTGATTGAGGTCTGCCATTCTTTCCCACTGGCCAATCCATTTGCCCACATGGGCTCCTCCTAGTACCTCTTGGAAACCCATCCACTCTATGGCCTGAGACAACGGGACCCATCCGGCCCTCCTGGGGTCCTGGCATCACAGAGCAGATATTACCTCCCTTCCTTGTCTCCTCCATCTTTCCTCCCCTTCTCTCTCTTCTCTTCCATTTATCTCCCTCCAAGGGAAAGCACGCACTCCATGCAACATTAAGAAATTTATTTGAGGGAGGAGGAAAGAAGAGGAGGGTATGTGGATGACAATGGGTATGTAGGTAACACACAGGAGAGAGCTGGAAGCATGGTTTAATAGCAGTCACATAGGGACTAAGCAGGCTGAATCATGGCTCCCCAAGAAGTCCATTCCTGGAAGCTGAGATATGTCTGTGTTATCTGAGTGCATCTGTCTAATCACAAAAGTCCTCATGGAAGACAAGGTGATACGAAGACAGAAGCAAAAGGATATTGAAACCATGCTGTTGGATTTGAAAAGAGGAGCCTCCAGGAGCTAAAGATCACAAATAATGCACGTGATGCTGGAAAAGGCAGAGAGAGGGATTCTCTCTTAGAGCCTAGAGGTAGTGTGACCATACCAATATCTCGGCTGTGGTCCAGAAAAATCTATTTTAGACTTTGAACTCCAGAACTGTAAGAGAACAAATTGGTGTTGTTCTAAGTCACTAAGGCTGTGGTCAGTTATTATAGCAGCCAGAGGAAAATAATATAGGGACAATCAAATAGGCAGAAAAGGAGAAAGACATG